CTACTTTATTACATGTTTATGAAATTACTTAAATAAAAATAATTATTAAAAATATTCTTTTTTAAATTTTTTTTAAGGCAATTGGTATATTCTAAAATAGCTAAAAAGATTATAAAATAAAAAAATAATTATAAAGAAATTTTAAAAAATATTAACAAAAATTCTTTCAAAGAAAAAAATTAATCTAAAAGAATTTATATTTAAAATAAAATAAAAAATTATTAACATAATAGATGAGAGAAATAATAAAATTTATATCAATTTATGTAAAATAGAATAGAAGTGTCGTAATATGCTAAAAACGAATTATGAAAAATTTTAAACATAATTAAATATAAAATATAGAAGAATTATTTAACAAAAATAATTAAGTTAATAATGAGAATTTAAATTAATAATTTCTTATAAATATATAAGAAAAATAGTTAAAAAATACTTTCAAGAATGAAAAATAATATAAAGGAAATTATATTTTAGAATTAAAAATTAATAAAAAATTTAATAACATAAGTAGGTGAAAGGTATTGTAAAAATTGTATCATTCACCATAAAATATATTAGAAGTGTCATAATACCTAAGAAAGAATTATGATAATTTTAAACATAATAAAATACAAGAATAATCGTAAAAAATTGTTATTAAAATTTAAATAATTAAATTCACAAAGTAAAATTTTAATTAATTATTATTCCCCTAAATATATAAAAATATCTAATAAATAAAAAATAAATAACGTAAATAGGTGAGAGGAAACATAACATTCGTATCATTTGATAAAAAATATGTAAGAAGTGTCATAACATACTAAGAAAAATTTATGACAATTCTAAACATATTGAAATGTAAGAACAAACATAGAAATATATTATTATAACATAAAAAATTATGATAACAACATAAAATTTTGATTAATTATTGTTTGTATGTATCATTTGGTATGAAACGGATAAAAAGTATTGTAATATATTAAGAAAGAGCCATTATAGTTCTAAACGTAATTAAATATAAGAACAATTATAAAAAGAAATTATTGTGACATAAATAATTAAGTTATCAATTTAAAATTTTAATTATTTATTTTTTAAACATATAAGAAAAATAGCTAAAACTTAAAAACATATTAGTAACATAAACAAGTTAGATGAAATATAGAAAGGTATGAATTATCATAAAATTGGCATCATTCAGTATAAAATGTATTAGAAATATTGTAACATCTTAAAAGAGAGTTATGATAATTTTAAATGTTATGAAAGTGGAAACAATTGTAAAAAAAATATTATTATAACGTAAATAATTAAGTTGACAATATAAAAGAATTATTATCTTAAACCCAAAGAATAATTTTAAATCAATAAATAAGTGTTAACGTAAAAAAGTGAGAATAATCGTAAAATTAGTATCATTTAACATTAAACAAGTTATAAGTATCGTAACATCCTAACAAAGAGTTATTATAGTTATAAATGTAGTGAAAAATAACAACAGGCATAAAAATATATTATTGTAACAAAAATAATTAAGTTGGTAATGTAAAAAAAATAATATTACAAATAAAAAATAATTTTAAACAAAAAAATAAAAGTTAATGTAAAAAAACTAAAAATAGTCGTAAAATTAATATTATTTGACGTAAAATGGTTACAAATATCGTTACACCTTAAAAAAATATTGTGATAATTCTAAATGTAATGAAAAATAATAATGAGTGTAAAAAAATATTATTAAAACTTAAATAATTAAATTGGAAACGAAAAATTTAGTATTATAAATAAAAAATAATCTTACACCAAAAATAGGTGTTAACATAACTATATAAAAATAATCGTAAAATTAATATATTTTAGCGTAAAATATGTTGGAAATGTCATAATACCTTAAGAAAAAGTTATAATAATTTTAAATGTATTAAAAGATAAGAACAAGCTTAAAATATATTATTATAAAGTAATAATTAAGTTGACAATATAAAAAATCTATTATTATAAATAAAAAATAATTTTAAACAAAAAAAAGTGTTAACATAAAAAAGTGAGAGTAAGAGTAAAATTAGAATAATTTTGTATAAAGTATGTTAGAAGTGTCGTAACGTAAAAAAATAAAAATAGTTGTAAAATTGATGTCACTTGGTATAAATTAAATTAGAATTATTGTAACACCTTAACAAAGAGTTGTGATAAACTTAAGTGTAATAAAAAGCAAAAACAAGTGTAAAAAATATTGTTGTAACATAAAAATATTTTTGACAATGTAAAAAATTATTATTACAAATAATTAACAATTCTAAATAAAAAAATAAGTATTAGTGTCAAAAAAGCGAGAATAATCATAAATTTTGTATTATTTAGCATAAAATAGTAAAAAGTATCATAACACTTTTAAGACAAAAGTTGTAATACTTTTCAACGTAATAAAAGGTAATAACAAATGCAAAAAAATATTATTATAACATAAATAATTAAGTTGGCAATATAAAAGAACTATTATTACAAACAAAATAATAATTTTAAATTAAAAGTTAAGAGTTAGATCGTAAAAATAATCATAAAATTGATATTGTTTAATGTAAAATAGTTAGAAGTATTGTTACACTTTTAAAAAAATATTGCAATAAATTTAAACGTAATGAAAAGTAATAACAAATATAAAAAGATATTATTGAAATATAATAAATTGGTAACGTAAAAAAATTAGTGTTAACGTAAAATAGTAAGAATAATCATAAAATTGATATCATTTGGTGTAAAATATATTAGAAGTGTCGTAATACCTTAAGAAAAACTTGTGATAATTTTAAACATAATAAAAGATAAGAACAAGTGTAAAAGATTTTATTGTAATGTAAATATAAGTTGATAACATTAAAAAAAATATTATTATAAATAAAAAGTAATTCTAAACAAAAAAAAAAATGTGTGTTAATGTAAAAATGTAAGAATAACTAAAAAATTAGAATCATTTGGAGTAAAATATATTACAATGTCATAACATAAAATGATAAGAATAATTATAAAATTGGTGTCATTTTGTGAAAATTAGATTAGAAGTGTCAGAATACCTTAATAAAAATTTATGATAATTTTAAACATAATAAAAAGTAGAAACAATTATAAAAAATATTATTATAACATAAATAATATTTTGAGCAACATAAAAGAATTATTATTATCAATAAATAATAATTCTAAACCCAAAAATAAGTGTTAATATAAAAAAGTGAAAATAATCAAAAAATTGAAATCATTTGACATAAAATGGTTAGAAGTATTATAACACTTTTAAGAAAAAGTTATGATACTCCTAAACTTAATAAAAGGTAACAAGAAGTATAAAAAAATATTATTATAACATAAATAATTAAGTTGAAAATGTAAAAAAAATATTATTACAAATAAAAAATAATTTAAACAAAAAATAAGAGTTAACATAAAATGGTAAAAATAATCATAAATTAGGTATTATTTTACATAAAATGGTTAGAAATATCATTACACTTAAAAAAAAATTGTAATAATTTTAAATTTAATTAAAAATAAAAATAAATGTAAAAAGATATTATTGAAACGTAATAAATTTGTAATGTAAAAAAATTAGTATTATAAATAAAAATAATTCTAAATAAAAAATAAGTATTAAAATAAAAAAGTGAGAATAATTGTAAAATTAATATATTTAACATAAAATATATTTAAAATGTCATAATACTTACAAAAAAGTTGTGATAATTCTGAATATAATAAAATGTAAGAACAAACATAACGGATTTTATTGTAACGTAAATAATTAAATTAATAATATAAAAAAATTATTTTTATAAATAAAAAATAACTTTAAATCTAAAAATAAGTGTTAATGTAAAAAGGTGAGTGATCATAAAATTGGTATAATTTAACGTAAAATATGTTAAAAGTATCATAAGTAAAAATGTGAGAATAGTCGTACAATTAAAATTATTTTGTGTAAAATAGGTTAAAACTATCATAATACCTTAAAAAAAAGTTTTGATAATTTTAAGCGTAATGAAATATAAGAACAAGCGTAAAAAAATTATTTTAACATAAATAATTAAATTAACAATATAAAAGAATTATTATTATAAATAAAAAATAATTCAATCAAAAAATAAATATTTACATAAAAATGTGAAAATAATTGTAAAATTTGTATCATTTTGTATAAAATGTATTAGAAATGTTGTAACACCTTACAAAAAGGTTGTGATAACCCTAAACGTAATAAAAAATAAGAACAAATATAAAAACATAATATTATTATGTAAATAATTAAATTGGTAACGTAAAAAATTATTATCATAAATAAAAAGTAATCCCAAACTAAAAAATAAGTGTTAACGTAATAAATTAAAAAAATAAAAATAATCATAAAATTGATATCATTTACCTTCGTAAAATATTGAAAAAGAGTTATGATAATTCTAAATGAAACAGAAAGTAATAACAAGCATAACAAAAAATTAAAATAAATAATTAACTTGACAATGTAAAAATATTGATATTTTTAAATTAAAAGAATTCTAAATAAAAAAATTGTTAACATAAAAAGATGAAAATAATCATAAAATTTATATCATTAGATGTAAAATGAATTTGAAATATTTTATCTTAAAAAAAATTAATAATTATAAATATAATGATAAAAAAATATAAAAATATATTATTAAACATAATTAATTAAGTTGATTTCGTAAAATAAATTGATATTATAAAATTAAAATATACTTTAATTTTTATTTGTTAAATTAAAACATTAAATAAAATTATATATATTTTTAATATTTATTTGTTAAACCTTTATTTTTATAGTTCATCATGATAAATTATGAAATATTATGATATCTTATGCCGTTAAACTAAAATCGATATATATTGTCTCTTTGCCGGAGACAAACCTGCTTTCACTACTATCTTTTTTGTACTGTCGTGGCAGCTTAAAAAATGAAAAACACGTCCATCCATCTCACTAGTAGTTTGCAAGACTGATTCTGACCGTTGACTTAAAGATATGGAGTGATCTGATTGTGGAGAAGTGAGGTGGAGCTGCACGTGAGAAAGAGGAGGGTTTTTGAAGCATGAAAAATGGACACCCACCGAGAAAACCTCACTGGAAGTGTCTTGTTCGCAACTCCCGAGGTCGTTTTCTCTCACAAAACAGAAACACGTGAAAAACACAAGTAAGGAGAATAGATGATAAACTAAAAACAAAGAACGAAGCTCGTCGAAAGTAGGAAACACAGTTGCGAACCAATCTCCACTGTCTAAGGAGATCAGCGCACTACAGACAAAAAAAAAAAAAAAACTCATCATCTCTCGCTTTCTGCTCACCTTCCTCGTATATAAAAAGAAAAAGAAAAAGCCAGCCACCCTTATTAACAATCAACAATAATTTAAAAAAGTTTACATTTTTCCCTTTTTTTTTGGGTTTTTTATGTGAAATTTGAGGGTGAGTTTTATTTTATGGATCCACCAGCTATGATGAGTGATGGGGGGTACAATCTTCCGGAGATCTGGCAGAATCCAGTGAGTGAATCTGGGATAAGGAGGGGTCAGGTTGGACCTGGATTGGGTCAGTTCGGGGACCCTAATCGAGAGGTTTCAGGTAATTATCCGGTTAGCTTGGAGCAGCAGCAGAGAGGGGGTGGTATTAGGAGAATGCGTGATGAGGAAGATGAGGCAGCTAAAGTTGTCTCCACTAGTAGTGGCAATACCATGGTATTCATTTTCATTTTAATTTTAATTTTCATTTCTTTAATCAATTGGATTTGTGATCTGAAATGTACTAATTCAGATGGGCACCGTTTATTTTGGTTATCATTTAGCTTGTTTCTAAAGCTCTTTAACTTTGAATGTCTGTTCTTGTTGGCTTTATGGGATTTGCTCTTTCTTAGTTTTGTGGTGATTCTTATTATATTGATCTAGATTGCTGTCAAAGGAGTGAATTTAACTAACCAACAAATACTCCTGTGTTTTGTTTGTGAGTTTATAATTGTTTCTATGGAGAAATGATGGAAGTAAGCATTCAAGGAAAGTTAGATTTAATATGACAGTTTTGTTAATAATTTGGGCAGAACGATGATGATGAGAAGAGACTTAAAGCGTCAGGAAGTAGAGATGAGAATCATGATTCTAAAGCTGAAGCAGAACCTAGTTCAGGCAAGCCTGTGGAACAAAAAGCTCAACCACCAGAGCCACCTAAACAAGATTACATCCATGTGCGAGCAAGAAGAGGTCAAGCTACTGATAGTCACAGTTTAGCAGAAAGGGTAATTTGCATCAGGATAGTCCTTAAATCATTCTGAAATCCTTTTGGTGAATAAAAACCAAAATTTGATATAAAGGATACGCCTTCTGACTGTGGAACTTGTAACTAATCTTTTATATTTTATTGACTCGTACTACCATCATTGTGGTGTTTTCGTCAAAATTCATAGAATCTGACATTGCTGGAGGTTTGAATATGTTTCACTGATCTGAATCATTATGGACAGGCTAGGAGAGAAAAGATTAGTGAAAGAATGAAAATTCTTCAGGATCTGGTTCCTGGTTGCAATAAGGTATACCATGGAATTTCTATAAGGTTTCTTGTCTACCAACTGTATGCCAGTTTCTTCAATATTTTGTGTATAAGAAATCTAGTGCCTAGTGTGCACTGAGCTTTGACCCGTCTCTGCTTAGTAGTAAATTGATAACTTATATGGTGACATGGTAAGTGATTTTCTAATGCTTGTAATACCAAAACCATATCGAGATTTATCTTCATTCTCCTTGAATATGGCATATTTTAAGCCACTTGCTAAGTTAGTTTGGACTCAGGTTATTGGCAAAGCCCTTGTCCTTGATGAGATAATTAATTACATTCAATCACTACAGCGTCAGGTCAAGGTGTGGTCCTGCTTATTTAAACTGAATTTATTTTACATTTTTCCCAACTAATCTCAAACTTGCGTTCTGAAACATTACTGTTGTTGTAGTTCTTGTCAATGAAGCTTGAAGCAGTCAATTCAAGAATGATCCCTGCCATTGAAGTATTTCCTCCTAAAGATGTAAGAACCTATTCTGTTGTTGACTATGTAGTTTTATATGATTAATTTGAGCCCAAAAGTTTATCACATTTTTTTAATTGCTAGCTTATACACATGCATTCTATGTTGCTTTTTCATTCATCTTAAGTTAGAGGCTCATAAGTCATGTCAAACTTGAACTATCTTTTGCTTAGAATTCATGTCTGGTTGAGGGATATCTTCTTTGATAGTCAATAGCCCAAAATAAGGACGAGCACATCCATATTGCCTAAGTGATTAATCACTTCAGAAACCGGTTGGCAGATTTTGTTTTCTATAGTAAGGGTAAATTGGATAAGGCTTGGAATTACAATTTAGTGAAGAGAACATATTCAAATGTCATTATTGTTTTTCAAATTCTTTGTTTCTTGCATATACTTTTTGGCTTCTAGTTTCCAAGTAATTAGTAATTTCATATGTCATGTTGGTAAAATTAGTAGCTCACACGCCAATACATCTTACCTGAAATTCTTAATGGATTGCATCTTTTCCTGCTTAAGCATTGTCATAACTTAGTAAAAACAGATTATAAATATACTATGAATGTAATTCCTGAATAATCTGTCTTCAAGTGAGTAATTTCACTGAGGTCTCGATATTTTTTTGCAAACTTTTTGGTGCTATTTTCACTTGAATGAAATAATTATAGACATCATTCAGTAGCACTGACCATGTTAGGGGGGAAAAACTTTGGAGTGATACATTGAAGAGATCTCTTTCCTTTTTCTCCTGACTTATATCTGTTATAACAATTGATTTGGTATTTCAGTATGGCCAACAAGCTTATGATGCTACTGGTATGGCATTTGGTTCACAAGAGACAAGCGAATACAGTCATGGTACATCACCAGAGTGGTTGCATATTGGCGGTGGTTTTGAAAGAACATAATCTAGAAAATCCCTTGTCAATTAGTGATAAGAGCATTAATTTGCAATGCTCCCTCCTTCAGTCGTCGCCAAAAAAGTATACTGTATCATGTTAAACCAAAGAGACACTATATTTGGTTTCTCAGCACGAGTCATGGAGCCACTATCGCTGTCTAAAAGAATGCTAAATCTAGTACCCGAACATCTTCATTGTTTTGTTTCGGAATGTGTTCTTTTACTCCATATATCAACTGTTAGCCTTAACAGTCATCTTTGTACAAATACCTGAACAGAATCTCCTAGAATGATTATTTTTTTTTACAAGACAGCTGCTTGTTCAGAATTACTGATGCTTCCATGTTAGAGTCAACTTTGTTTTCACAGTGGGTTTGTTAAAAAGCTGATATTGTGATCATTAAATAAAGCCATTTTACTTCATCTTGAGCTAACAACTATAGCCTTCACAACAAAGTACAGGATGGATACTGCTTTTCACTAATTTTTTTTGTCTTACTCGCGTACAAATTTTCCAGTACATTTAGGTTAAAGGGTTTCTTGAATGTTCATGAGTTGTTTTGTTTGTGGATCTTGGAGCACACACTCAGTATGTTAGTTTCGGGTCCACGCCCTCTTCAGGATCCGAGTATTGTGCTTCATGGTATGTTTATATACTAGATGGATAATGATTCCCTTCTGAATACTTAACCAAAAATTGCCCTCTTTCTTTTCCTTCTTGCCTTTTTCCCCTTCCATCGTAGTTCAATTCTTCTGTTCTGTTCTTTTCTTTTCTTTTCTTTTTATCATTGGAATTCTGAAAGAAGAGAGGGGACCGAGGGATGGGGATGGGGGGCCTAGGAGGTTCCTGGACCCAAACCCCTGACTTGGTGCGAAAACACTTGGGTCAGTTACCAGCCATACATGGATGGTTGGCTCCGTTATAGTCTTTTGACGAATGATATTTAGCATATATCTCGAGGAATATCCCTCACTGTTCATGCGGGCTCTTAAATCCATGATAAGCAGGGCTTCCACGTTGAGCTGGTCATATCGGTGGAAGATGCTGGAATACTGATGGTAGATTTTTCTGTTTACTTGGCATGTCCTGGGCGTATCAATAACATCAGAATATTTGAAAGCATTTAAGCCTGGAAAAAGTATGTAGTGATTTGAGTTTTACAGTCTTGGTACTTCCAGACCATTACATTGATGAAAAGGAACTTGAGCTGAAGGAAAGCATGACACGAGTTTGAATTCGTTTCCGGTCTTGCACAAGTAAGGTCAGGGTACATTAACCATTTGATCAATGATTCAATAGTATCAGTGTAAACTAGTATGATTGTCACATTTACAATAGCACATCCGTAAAAAATTCCAAATCCATAGATTTTTTGGATTCTGGAGCGGTGCTCTTTCCAAACTCTGAAAGAGATCACTTTAGTCTTTAGCCTTTAGCCAAAGATAAGGTTATGTTATTAGCTGTGTAGTGCGGAAGTAGTAACCCTCACCCTGGTTAAAACTGTTCCCACTTAATTCGAAATACGAAACTGTAACCCAGATCACACGTAGGAGCCGGATAACAACTAACACAGTACCTCCAAGGGTGCAAACCACCTGCAATCAAATAGTTAATATCATTTCGGTTTCTGGCAATTATCTTCTTTATCAAAGCAAGTGGAAGACAATTTCTGAAGAATGATACAGTTGGCAGCATCAATTCACAGCAATAGGAGTTTAATCCAACTGTCTAATAATGATTTGGTTTGATTTAGACTTTTAATGAATTGACTCTTATCTGACTTATCGACTTCTAAATTAGTTTATAGATATTTAGTTTTGATTATTAATATTTTAATATATTTTTTAAAAGTTATTAAAATTGAGGTTAATGTCAAAACATGTATCAAGATTGTTTCATTGAACAACCATTTACGGAATAGATTTTTCACAGATCAGTTATTCACAAAACTATACTCTTTTATTCACAAAACTACTCTCTTACGGAACATAGTCATAGAGTAACATTTTCATAAAACAGCTTTTTCACATAAAACAACACTTTCATAAATAGATATCTAATTTTGTTAGAAATAATTTAATCGCATTTAATTTTTATTTTTGATTTGAACATCTAACTTTGGACAGATTTAAGCTTGTTAATTTGATTTATTTTGTTAGGCGCATTTCGGCTTTATTTTAAATTAAATGTTTTTAGATCATTTTGTATAAAATAAAGTTAGAGGTGTCAAATGCGCCGTGCCTATTAAAAATTAAATCCCAGTGTTAATGTATCGTGCAAGTTCTATACTATTAGTTAATGTATTATGCTAACATGATCCATGAAAACTAATAGAATGGTCCAACACGACACAATGTTCATAGCCTTTATGGATCATGCTTTCCCTGAGACAACACTTTTTCTCATGCTGTATCAGATTAAGCACAGTGCATTAATTTTTTTTTTTCAACTTCTTTTAAAAATTAATGTATGAAAATAATTCGCGAGGAACATAAAATGAAACTAGTTTGCAGGCCCGCCCTATGCTGCGAGCTCCATAATAATGAAGTAAATATTGTTTAATCATAATATTCATAATATAAAAATTGTACCTCTATGTTCTTTCTTTGATACCATTTTCCTGTCAACATGAACTCTCCATCCAACAGGTCATCGTCTAAATTATATTCAGTTCTACCACCAAAAAATAATGCCCATTAGAAATTAAGTACCAAAAATTATAGTTGGGAATAATTCACAATCTTAAATAATGATGCCCCAAACATATGTAAGCATCTCATTATAAAAGTTCATGAAAAGCTTTCCATCCACTTTTCTTTCATGTCTGATATCCAATGAAAGGATCCTCAGGTCCATTTCGTAATTCTACCGATTATAAACTATCTTATTTTCAAAGTAGAATAGAACTACAACAATAGATTTCAAGCCACATAACTTATGTTTCCCAATTTTCTAGCTATAACTTTAAATTCTTGAAGATTTAATTCTTACCAATAATACTTTCAGCTTCATAGCTAAGCTTGATCAAAATTATAAGATGCAGCTTTTTGACCAAAACTCCTATCCAAACTAAACAAAAAAGTTACTTAAAAATTTCATCTTTCAGATGTTTCTCGGTCAATTACCAACCCTATAACTACTAAAGCTTTCAGAACCATATAAGATATAGAAAAGTAAAAAATCTTAGTCTAACTGAAAACAGTAACTAAATCATCCTTAGACCCATATGCCAACACCTGGCAAATGGCTTGAGATTCACATATCCACAAAAATAGGACAACAACAAAAAGAATATATCAAAACACAAAATTATACAAAAGTAAGAAAATTAATCAAATTCAAGTACCAGAACATGAGGGCTAAAGAAGACCATCACAATTAATCAGATATGCTCTAAAGTTATGGAAAGATCATAAGGAACCAAAAGGCTGAAGTGATCAAATTCTAAAGTAAACAACTATGTAATAATAATCACCCTTGTAGAATGCAAAATTCATGGTAACATCATTCGACTAAAGACAATGCAATTCACAATTACTCAAATTTCATCCTCTAAATTAAGTACCATACCTATCAATGCAGGTCAAGCGATTTGAATCTCAAAGGCACTTAATACAAGATAGGATAACAGCTTTCTATATGACAAATCAAAATTGAAAATCCATACCTTAGGCAGAATGTATAACCTTGAATGATAAAAAAAATCAAAGAACATGTTTTCCTTAAGATATATAACTTGCCTGGTCACTCCAAGACCAATGTTATGAGGAAAAATAGTGGCGGCCTTATATACATTGTTGTGGCCATGAACTGCATCAATCCCATATATCATGGTAATCCCAAGGCGGGCGGACAAAGACCCTTCTTGCATTGAGTTCACCATTTTAATCCAAGTCTCAGGAGTAGCTTTTGAGGCAAGTACACTCCCTACACAAACCATACAACCTCCATTTACAGCACAACTCAATTTTCATAAAAAGCAGCATTAAGCATGACAACTATTTTGATAATATAAGAAAATAAAAGATTATTGTCTTACACACTGGTAGCAAGTTCAAAAATTTTATGGCACAAATTTAATTCCTCTACTATTCTCAATCTTTTCTTTTTTGAATTCATTTTCACTCTCTTTTCATCACTCACTATATGCCACTTTTCTGCTGCCATTTTCTATTTTGGTAACCATTTCTCTACTTCTCTATCCATTTTTAGCCCATTCAATTCTCTCTCCCCCTTTTTTCCACTCTTTCCAACCCTCTTGAAATCTTGTCTGCTAGCATAGGGACATAATTTCAAAGTAACAGAAATATAATGGTGAAGAGCATGGTAAGAGAAATAACTTAAACTTTTTTTTTTTTTTTGTTCCCCGTGAATACCATAGCATCTTATGTTTTTATGCAAGCAAAAACCATTTAGTTCAATCTCATGGGTTTAGTCATTGCCTAAAATCAATACTGATTCTGTTTGTCACCAAATGACTGTAACAAAGTTTAGCATGAGTTCAATAGGATTTTTATTAATTATAGCTTGATGGCTATAATCGTTAATCTACCAGAACTCAAATCTCAAATATAACTAACCAAGCAAATATTCAAAAGAATATTTGTTCCTAAACTTATGTGCTACTGGTGCAATAAACCAGTTATAAATTTCTGAAGAAATGACTCATTTCAAACTTAACAGTGACTTAAAAGATCTCAGTTTAAGACAATAACTGAAAGAAAAGAATCATTCATGTCAAGCCCATTGATCTTTATTAGAAATATTCATCCTTTATGTCACAGTAATACTCCATAAGCCCGTATAGAATACATCATTATCAACTATATCATAACATCCTACTCACCGTATTCTTTACCATCTGCTTGCATGCACCCCATGCATCAAAAACTAATAACTTTATTTAACAACAAAACTAACTTATCCAGACTACTTTTAGAATATATGAAAGAGATTGAATGCTAAGCCCAAGCAAACAGTTGAATCCAATGTATAAGACTGCACAATCAACTCTCCATTTGAATAGTAGAAGGGAAACCCCACATTCTATGAGCAGCCACATTCTGCTATCTTTTTTTTCATCCTGAATCGCTATTTTGTTACATTGTAATCAAATAAAAGCAGATGATCAATAAAACATACAATATAGCTGACTATAAAATCCCACTCCTTAGCTTTACTGGCTAGAAATTATTCTTTTCCTCATCCACTGTTTCTGTTGAGAGATTGAAAAGTTGAAGATAAGAAATATTCAGTTTTTTAATCACTTCTTAATCAATCTAGCAAGTTAAATCTTATATTCCTTAATTACCCCTTTAATTTTTTTTTAAATACATTAACGATGTGTCCAGCAAATTAGAAAGGGGGAAGTCAGGGGATTAAAAAACTAAATCTTAAAGAAAGTGAGGAAGAAGAAAATATACCAAAGTGAGAGCACAAATCAAACTAATAATCAGCACTGGTTTTATCATCATCGCCATTGCAATCAACAAAAGAGACGTCAGGTTCTCCCATGAAGACACCTTCGGTAGCTTTATCAACAGCAACGAGATTGGAGCTGTCAGTGGCAGCTTCCTCGTTGCCGTGTCTTGGAAACGAATCTCAATTCCTTAAAAATTGTTCGAAGAGCTCCTCGAGGCTTGTACTTTATAAGGTTTGGTGCATGCAAGTTCAAAAGTGTCTGGATGAATAAATAAAATTTTTTTAAAAATATATCCTCTTAATTATGGATTGAAAGCTCAAATAAAGGATCCATTCCATGACATCAGAACAGAAAAAAAAAAAAATTCAAAGAAATTCAAAATAAAGGATCAATTCCTCATCGTTCACCTTTCTTGAACAACAACTCACCAGATTGTCCTCTTTCTCGTCTTTCTTCTGGGGGTCCTTGGCTAAAGCCTTACTAAATTTGTCAACACCTTCAAGGGCAATGCGTACCTGCAAAATCAACCTTGAATTTAGACTATCTATACAAAATGCATGCGCAAAAGTCAACTTAAAGTATTCATTCACTCACATCTCTATTCAAATGGCAAATTTCTATAAAATATTTAGCTTCTGCTCCAAATGGATCAGGGGAAACTTCAGCAGAAGTTGCCAATGAGTCAGTAAGCCTCTGTGTAGATGTTAAGCCCGTAGCTCAGCTGAAACAACCCCATTTTGTTCAGAGATCAAATCCATTTCAACAACAGTTTTGCAGCAACCCTCCTACCCATTAAAAGGGCCTAAATAAACAGAAAATATTATAGATATTAAGATTGGGGCACTCGATTCTCTCGCTTTACTTGGAAGTGAATGAGATTTGAAGAAGGAAATCGAAAAAAGGAATGCTCTTTTCAAAGAACTAAGAAGCTTCTGGAGAAGAATAAAAATAAAAATTACCCTCCAATCCATTTGATATCATTGCTGAACTGTTCCCGTTAAAACTAATTGGGGACAGCTTTTATATATTTTATAAATTATAGATTCTCACTTTCTTCTGTCACAATTTATGAAGAGGGTCAACTTACATGACGGCATGACAGCAGCCTTCCCCTCGCATTCAATTCTCCCAAAATCCTCACTTTCCCTTCCTCCCAAATTGCCTCATCATTTTAGCAGTCCATTTTCCCCTTATCATTTTACCTTATTCACCTTCAACCTAATTTGATCAATTACCCTTCACTTTCCCTATACTCAGAACCAGCAGGCACCACATCCCCAAAATAAGCATGTTCCACTGTCCTAAAAGCCAGTAGCCATTGCTGCAACAAAGTTCCAAAACCATCAATCAAATTAAGTCAATTTGCTGGACACCAAGCAGAGAGACTTCAAATTCTCTCATACTATAATAACCTTCAGCAATTTGACAACGAGGGATTTTTTTCAAAGAGAGAAACAAGAGTAAGAAGCAAAAAAAAAGCGAAAATTCCAACTCTCTATTCTGTTTGCTGCCACTGTCACCTCCACCCAATTCACCACCCCTTTAAACAACCTCCCCTCACAAGTCTGCACCACCACTGCTTGTGGCCTTAACCAACCTAAACTGCTACAATTAAACATCAAACCTTGCCCAAAGACCATCACCATATACCCACTCTATCAACACCTAAAAAAAACTTATTTTTCCACCAAAAGACTCCATACACTAAAAAAATCATGTTGCGTATTTTTACCAAAAATCAAAAGAAAAAAAACCAAAAAATATAGCCTCATTCCTCACTAACAGGTGAAAAACAACGGTCAAACCACAGAAAAAGCCCAAAAAAAAGAGGTAGGGAATTTTAGTTGTTAGTTTGGGTTGTGGGGCTATCAAATCGGAAAGGAGAAGGAAATGGGGAAGCTTGTAGCTCAGCGGGTGTTGGATTTCAGGCCACGGCTTAAGCAGGGGCTTGATTTCTGTTTGGGTATTGAAAGGAAGAGTAATGAGGTGCTGTTCGGAGAAAAGGAAAGAAAGAAAAAAGAAAAGGGCTGTAAGCCGCCGGTTGATGGGTGCTTGCAAGGCTGCGGACGTTGGGTTTCAGGCGGCAGTGAAAAAAGCTCTGGTTTCAGCTGAAGAGAAGGAGAAGGGAGCGACTGGAAGAGAGAGAAGAAGAAAAGTAAGATGAAAGAAGGGAATTAGGGTTTAAAAAACCAAAGAAGGGAGTTTTGGGGTATTAGGCAAAACGGTGTGTTTAGGAGAAGGGTAAAAATCAAAAGGGCTGAAACGGGCTGGACTTGGTGGGCCCTGACGGAGCCCACTCTCCTAGGTTGCCTAATTCAGCTATTTTGGGTTTAAGCCCAAAGATTTGTTAGGTATATTTTCTTATATTTATTATAAATAACTTATTACATGAATTTGTTTAATTTGATAATTATTTGTGTTTTAATGTTTTTTTCAATAATACCGTTAAAAATAAATTTACTAAGATAGTTGAGATTATCGGTGTTACAAAAAGTTAATGAAAAATAATAATAAGCAAAAATTGTTTTCGTGTAATATATGAATAATAAATGAAATTGGAAATAGATGATTTTTTAAGAAAAGTTTTAAAAGTTGATTTTAAGGAAAATAAAATGAAAGATAATATTTTTAAGTTAAATATAATTTGAAAAACCTTACTTAGATATTGGAAAGAGTTTTAACAATTATTTTTTATTAAAAAATGTTATCTTTGTTTGTGAAAATATATGCAATTTTTCCAAAAACATATATTTTAAATTTTGTCTAAATATTTGATAGTTTAGACAAAATGTTTGCATTACCAAAAACTATCATTTTATCCCTAAATAAAAACTTGTTTAAAAAAAATAATAAAAAGGTTGAAGGTTTTAAAAAGAGAAAATAAAATAAAATATGTTTATCATTTAAATTTTGCTTACACTGTTTATTTATTTATCTCATATTGTCATATATGCATTGTATTAGGTAATAATAAATATGAAATGTTGAGATGATTATTTAAAACAACGGATTTTGTTTTAGATAAACTAGGATGATATCCTTAAATAAAAATAATTTTTGAGTCGTAACCTAAATATTGGAAGGATTTTAAACAATTATTTTATGAAAAAAGTGTTACCTTTTATTTTAAAAATTATTGCGAGAATTCTTAAGTGGAGAAATATTTTTCGAAATTCTACCAAAATATTTGAAAACTTAAAAAATTTATTGAAATTGAATATTTTCATTTTATTTCTAAACAAAATAATTTAAAAAAAAAAACAAAAAGAGATTGTGACCATAATAAGAATTAAGGGAATTATTTTAAATACCTAAATTAAGATCATTTTTATCTAAACAAAAAGATAACACATGATTTATTGATACCATTTTAAAAAAAAAGTGTGGTGGGGTGTTAATCATTTCTCTTGTGTAACTGTACTCGTAGACTTAACTTTGTTTTTAAAATAGCAATACAATGCATGCAATACAAATATGATCTAAACTATAATCAAATGTAAAGAAATAAACTAAATCAAGCAAGAATCAACAAGTAAACAAGTAAAACTAAGAATTTAGAATAAAAAAAAGGCAAACAACTCACTAAGGGGAGAGCAATTTCATGCCAAAGTTGATTGATCACATCTGACCTACATTTGTCACCTACATCCAAACAAATGTTTCAAGCTTGATATGGAATATTGTGGTTAGAGTTTGAAATTGAATTTTTAATAAGTTGTAGCTAAATGAATTAGGAAACTATGAAAAAAATTTGAGCAAAAAAAGAGTAAGATTTGAATTAGATATGCTCTAAAAACCGTAGGTATGTTAGAATTGACATATTCAAAAATAAATTTGAGTATTAAACAGAAATTAGTATTTGAGTTAAAAAATGAATTCAAATTGAAATTTTATTAAAAGATTATAAAAGAGCACTGAAAAAGACTTAAGGAACAGTAAAATTGAAATGAAATTCGAAAGGAAAATACTGGAAATAAAGTGTTATAAGCTAAGAAAATGTAAAATACAGAAAAGAAAGTATAGGAAAGTAAAGGAAAAAATTTTCAATCCTAAACTAACTCTCTTCCTATGGCCAGCCCTCTCCCCCTATTTATAAGCAGGAGAGAGAAGCTTAAAGTCTAAAAAAAATCTAGAAAGTTCTTCATTTGGCTGGGCACTTTTGGAGCATTTTTCTTTTGGTGGTGCATAATTGGTTGTTGCACTTGGTCTGGTTTTTGGCCACTTCTTCAATAGCTGCAGCTTTATTCTTCATGTGTAAATGCTTATTCAAGAAGTCAAAATAAGGACCAATCAAAGCACTTGAAATTGCCACATTAGCCCTTTTAATTAGTGCTTTTGAACCAGTTTGAAATTACCTAGCATTTGCATGCTTTTTTAATCATCTATGCACACATGCACCAACATGTTTGCATCTTTCATATTTTTTTCTGCAAAAAAATTTCAAATATTTTATGAAGAATTTTATCCTACAATTCACTAAAAAAAACTATAAAAATAATACTAAAAATTAGTCAGGAAAAATCAAGAAAACTTCCTAAGTGCCAATTTTGCCTATTGACACTAGTTTAGGCCATTAGCATAAATTGCACCAAAAATCTTTCAAATTTGTATAAAAAATGTCTAAAATTCCTCAATTCCAATATTTATACCTACACATGAAATAAATGTACATTTAGGAGTAATTTTGCCAAAAATTTTGAGGAATAAGCCAAAATATATGAAAAATTGTACTAAAAATGAGCATGAAAATACTAAAATTTTAGTGCAATCAAATTCTCAAACTTAAGTTTTTACTTGTCCTCGAGTAAAATAAGATTAAGCAAAAATCATACTATACTTTCAACGCTTCATTTAACATGAATGCATCATGGATTGGTCAATAAAAACAACTAAAGCAAAATCATGAATATGTGCTAGTATATAAGAATTTACCTAGGCTAAGATCATTCCTAACTATGGTTTCATAAGTAAGCAACACATCCTATATATCCTTACATGAAATTTAGTAATGTTATGCAAAATATGAAATTTTAATAACAAAAATCAATAAAGTATGCTTATGTTTTATAAGTTTGCTTATCACATCTCTCTCTATTAATATAGATAAACACATGACCAATGATCATTTAGGACTTTAATAAACTTATCATGTAAAGTTAGGGTCAAGATATGATAAATGTCATTTAGATTCAAGTACCTTAATAATGTATCACATATTTAAGATCATTTATAGTTGAGCTTTCAAGGTAAGAAAAGGTAAGATTGAATAAAGAATCACCCTAAACTTTGATTTTGTCCATCTTTTTTTTTTTTCTTTTCTTTGCTTTTTCACCACTTTATTGTTTTTATTTATTTTTTTTATTTTTCATAATTTTTATCTTTTTTTTCTTTTACAAGCTAGCTTAACTTTTTTTTTTCTTTTTCAATTTTTTTTGTTAAATTTTTCATTCTTTTTTCAAGTTCTACCATTTTTTCCTAATAATGCATAGCTCACAAATGGTGCATGAATATCCTAATGTATATATAAGGCAAAGGACCAAAAAGGTAAGAAATAAGCAAATCATGGCTATGGGTTGTAATGTGGTTTCAAAACAAAGAAAAGGATATCATAAAGCTCAAATAGGGTGACTATGAAAATATTATATCAAGGATGACTCCAAAAGCTTAAACGATCTAAATATGGCCTATATCATTTTTCTAATCATATGTCCTCTAGGATTTCATCTCAAGAAATGATCAAAACAAATTCTGAAATCATGAAACACAACTTTAAAGACAAATATAAAAACAATATCATGCTTACATAATCAACACTAGATAAAAAAATGTAATTCAATATTCAAAACATCACTTACAAATGAATACCATATTCAAGAATTGACTAAACCTAAGTATCATATCATATTTCACACACATCCAATCTTTTCCTAAAGCTATATTTATTCTCAACCTTTACCTATCATTGGCTTTATGAAAAGCTAATAAAAAAAAAAGCATAATAATAATTCAAGCTACCCTAAGTTAAGCTCAATTTTAAGGTAAAAGTAAAAAAAAATTCAAAAATTTTTTAAAAATTTTGAGTAATTTTCCCATACCCCAAAACTTAGATAATACATTGTCCTCAATGTACAAGCATAAAAAAAAAATAAAGCACAAAAGAAAAGAATAAAGAAACTCTCCTATCATTATGAAGGCATAGTGATCAAATCTTCATCAATGCTTGGCCAAAACTAGTGCATCCTATTTAAGCTTTTATTTTACCTACAAAACAAAGAAAACCACTACACAAAAAAATTATATCAATATGTACAATGAAAATATAAGCAAAATATATGAAAACAAAATATGAAATGTAAAGCTTGGATTACCTCCCAAGAATCGCTTTATTTAAAGTTAAAAACTTGACTTTCATTGGTATTAGAGAATCACACACATTTTCTTCTCGAATCTACCCATTTTATTCTTTTCTTTTGCACCAAATATGTAATCATATGTATATGATGCTTATGGATAGATTTATATCCTACCTTTATGAATAATCTAAGTATATTGCAATAACGGCCAATAGTAGTGGTCATTAGCTTAAGTACCAATGAATAAGATACCATTATAGAGAATATAGGTTTAGGCTTTAAGATGAAAATGTCCTTCAAGAATAGTATAAGTGTAAGCTTAATAAAGGTTGTGTCTAATGGTAGAGTCAAACAATCCTCATCACAATCATTAAATAGTAAGTTCTTATACACATGTATTTTTAACTCATCATACAATGAATTATCAAAAAACCAAAGAAATAGCACGGTTATATTATGAAGTTCAATTTCTTACTGATTAGGACCATTACTGAGACCTTTTTACAAATCAAGGTAAAAAATTGAGCCGTCCTCTCCAAAATCATTTTCACTCACCTTTTCCTCCATAGATGGTCTGTTTAGAGGAAGCTCAAAGAATGAGGTGTCTAAAGCTTCGTGCATAGAATAATGAAGCGAAAAAGCCACTAGACAAGTAAGTTCTTTGCTAATGAGTTCTTCATTATCCTTAAGCTTAATACTAGATTCAAGAAGAAATGTGTCTAAGGGCTTAAGTGATTTATCTAATAAGCTCACATTATCAACACATTAATCCACCTTATGCATCTTCACACAATCGAGTAAGTGATCATAAAGAACTTGAAAAATGGCATGAGTGGAATATCAACATTAACTTCTTTTTGAATGCTATATTCTATCTTAACTCCCCTGAATGAGCTCCTCAATTTTTTTAACCATCAGCATGCCT